TGGGGGGGAAATGAGGGGCTTTGGGGGGAATAGGGGGTCCTGCAGGAGAAGCAGGGGGTGTTGGGGGGCACTGGGGGGGAAATGAGGGGCTTTGGGGGCAATAAGGGGTCCTGCAGAAGCAGGGGGTGTTGGGGGGCATTGGGGAGGTGGAGGGGAGATCTGAAAGCACTGGAAGGGGAACTGGGGGTACTGGGAGGGGCTGGGGGCCTTCTACAGGGTTTATGGGAGGGAAATAGGGGTACAGGGAATTTTGGGGTGCCCCCGACTCCCCCCCGCCCCGCAGGTGTTCCAGCGCCGCCAGGACGGGAGCACCGACTTTTGGCGGGGGTGGGAGTCGTACGCCCGCGGCTTCGGCAACATCAGCGGCGAATTCTGGCTCGGTGAGCGGGGCACTGGGGGCTGGGGGGATGCCGGGGCTCAGGGGATGCATAAAAATTTGAGGGGATATGGTGTCAACAGAGGCACTCCGGGGGTTTGGGGACAGGGAGAACTTTGAGGAGAGCCAGCTGCCGGGGCGGCAGCAGGGAGTACTCGGTGGGGTCCCAGAACTTGGGGGTTCCCCACGGGGCCGAGGGGGGGACTTGAAGGATCCAGGGGAGGTCCAGGCAATTGGGAGGCAGGTTTTGGGGTGCAGGGAAAGAGGCACTGACTAAGGAGTCCAGGGGGTTTGCCCAAAGGTCGGAGGGGCTTGGGGGGTCCACAGACATGCAGGTCTGGTTTGGGGGTCACAGGGAAGGACTTGGGCGGGGAGGGATCTCCAGAAGGAAGGGGGGGACAGGGGAACTGGCGGGGCCTGCAGGATTTCTGGGGTGCCGGACAATTTTGGGGCGCAGGCAACGAGGCGCTGCACGAGCTGACAAGCGCGACCCCCACGGAGCTGCGCATTGACCTGCGGACTGCCCGCGACTCCGCCTTCGCGCTCTACCGCGACTTCGCTGTCGGCAGCGCCGAGGAGCGATACCGGCTCCGAGTGGGAGCGTTCAGCGGCACCGCCGGTGCGCGGAGCGGGGCTCGGGGGTTCCCGGGGGCGTTGGGGAATTCTGTGGGTCCTGGTGGGATTTTGGATCCCTGGGGGTTTTGGGGCCCGCTGGCTGGCAGGGGTCTGTGGAGTCCCTGGAGGATTTGGAGGTCCCTGGTGGGTTTTGGGGTGGGGTTTTTGGGGTGTTTTGGGACCCCGGGGGGTATTGGGGTTTCTGGTGGGTTTGGGGGTCTCTGGAGGCGCTGACAGCGGCCCCCGCAGGGGACGCCCTCTCCTACCACTCGGGCAGCCCCTTCTCGACACGGGACCGGGACTCCCGAGACCCTCGGGACCGCCGGGACCCCTCGGGGCGGCCCCGGCCCCCACCCTGCGCCGTGGCCTACGGGGGAGCCTGGTGGTACCGCAACTGCCACTACGCCAACCTGAACGGGCGCTACGGGACCCCCCGAGACCACCAGGTACCAGGGCCAGAGGGGGCTATGGAGGGGCTATGAGGGAATTTGGGAGGTCTGAGGAGGCTTTGCAAGGGGCTGCTGGGCGTTTTTAGGGGGCTATAGGAGGCTTGGGGGGCTATGGGAGTGAACAGGGAAGTCTAGGGGGCCTTTAGGTGGGCTACAGGACTATGGGGGGGTTGGGGGTATATGAGGGAACCTGTGGCAGGGGGGTCTGTGGGGGTTCTGTGGTGGTTTCTAAGGGTCCATAGGGGTCTGTGGGAGTCTGTAGGGTTTCATAGGGCTCTATGGAAAACGGTCTATGTGATTCTATAGGGCCTGTGGGGATCTGTATGATTTCTGGGGGTCTGTCTATGGAGATCTGTGAGGATCCATGAGTGGCAACAGGAATCTGTGAAGGTCTATAGGGATCCATAGGGTCTGCAGGGGTCTCTATGGTCTGTAGGGGTCTATGAGGATTTACGGGAGGGTCTCTAGAAGTTTGCAAGGGTTCTGACACCCCTTCCCTGCAGGGCATCCACTGGTTCCCCTGGAAAGGCTTCAACGTCTCCATCCCCTTCACCGAGATGAAGCTGCGGCCACAGCACGGCTGAGGGGGCCCCCTGAGTGCTGGGGCTAGGGGGATCCCAGAGCCCCCGGGGGGTCCCAAATGGGACCTGGGGAGGCTCAAAGGTGAAACTTTTATTGGGGGGGTAATAAAAGCTGATGGTGACTCCCGTGTCCTGTGGTCAACCAGGAACTGGGGGGGGTGGGGGGGGGGGGGGGGGGGGGGGGGGGGGGGTGGGGAGGGGGGGGGGGGGGGGGGGGGGGAGAGAGCACAGTCAGACTGAGGTCAAGGTCATTCCAGTCAAGGTCATCCCCTTGGTGAGTAGGGCATCTCCAAATGGTCCCTGCAGTTCTGCTGGACCTGATCCCCACACTGGCCCTGGAGATGCTGAGATGTCCCAGCCTGGGCAACATGAACATGTGGACAGGGATTGGAAAGGATGGGATGAACCATCCAGTGAAGCCAAAACAGAGGGAACAGGGTCAGGGAAAAAAACTCCTTGGAACACCCTGGGTGTCCTTCTGAGACTCAGAGATGGATCTGGGTCGTGGTCATGTCATGGTCACATCATGGTTGTCTTCTGGTCATGGTCATGTCATGGTCACCTCATTGTCACAGGCATCTCATGGTTGTGTCGCAGTCATCTTGTCTCACAATGACCCGACGGTCATCTCAATTTCATGGCCACAGTCATCTCAAGGTCACTCTGCTCCTGCCCTGGAGTGGGAATTCAATCCCTGACCTCGGTGTGAGGGAACCAGCCCCTGATCCGGGCTGGAGGTTCTGTCCCTGCACAGCCACTTTCTATGCCTGGGTCATGGATCCCTTCCAGCACCTCAGCATTTCTGGGGTCCTTTATCCCACGATAAAGAGACATGCCCTCAACTCTTGTGGCATTCCATGAGCAGCTAAATCTCACTGGTGTGCACGGCCTGGGGTCCGACCATAAGTGCTCCAGAGGCAGGGATGGGATCTGCACAGAAAGCTGCTGGAATAGGTCACAGGCAGCCACAGCTGCATCTATGCCCAACCCTTGTGGGGACCCCATGTCCTGAAGGATTCCCTGCTCCAGGAGGGATCCTGAACTGGGCTCCAGCCTGAGGGGCAAATCCTGCTCAGGGCCAGCGCTGGGGCCAGGGGCTCTGTGGGAGCCGTGTCCCAGTGCCAGCCCAGTCTGGAGCCACAGCCCTGCTGGGGCAGAGCCCCTGGGAGCCGATGTGTGGGACAGCTCAGCAGAGCGGGACTGGGGTGATCCAGCAGGACACAGAGGTCCTGGGTGGGACGGGGGGGCCGGGCAGGGGATCTTCCCCCAGGGCCTGGAGCAGTTTGGGGCAGCAGTGCCGGGAATGGGCTGGAGCTGGACACTGCGGCCACCCCGGCCCTGCCCCAACCCAGCCCTGGTGTCCCTGTGCCACCATTCCAGACACTGCGGCCACCCCGGCCCTGCCCCAACCCAGCCCTGGTGTCCCTGTGCCACCATTCCAGACACTGCAGCCACCTCAGCACTGCCCCAACCCAGCCCTGGTGTCCCTGTGCCACCATTCCAGACACTGCGGCCACCCTGGCACTGCCCCAACCCAGCCCTGGTGTCCCTTTGCCACCATTCCCCAGTGCTCCCCAGTGCCTCCAGGGCTTGGAGATCCTTGTCATGCAGATGTTCCCATGACCTATGACCCTGTTGTCCTCCTACTTCCCCCTTTTCCCTGATCCCAGAGTCCTGGTGTCCCAGGAAGAGGGGTCAGTGCAGGCCCACATTCAGCCAAAGGGATTTGACAGGAGTAAGGGGTGACACATGGAGATGTTGAGTTTGAGGCTGGGGTCAGCTCCAGGGGAATTTCGGATGGAAAGGCAGCGCTGGGAGCTATGGGGCCCTGGAGATGGGGGGATCTGCCTCTGGAAGCTGTTGGTGGGTGGCTTCACATTGGAGCTGTGGGCTCACCAGTGCAGCATGGCCAGTGCTCAGGGCTGGTCTCCTCAACCCCAGCCACACCCAGAGCCTCAGCCCTTCCAAGGAAAGCTGCTCCATGCAGGAAGCTGGATGTTTGGAAGGGTCCATGGGGGTCCTGCCTGGTGGTGTCAGCACCTCTGAAAGGATCCACTGCTCCCGGCAACAGAAGGAATACATGGTACCTCAGCTAACAGGGTCACACCCATATGGAAATGGTAATATTTTGGATCTAGAGGCTCAGGATCCCATATTTTGCCTCCCTGTAGATGAACACAACTATCACAACACACAGAAAAACGTAAGACTTCAGTGTCACAGGGTCCAGCTTGTGATCAGACGCTGGCTGCATGAGAGGTACCCAGCAAAGCTGCTTTATGACTGCTCTTCTCAGCAGAAAGGGGAGAGAAAACATAAGGAAAGGCTCATGCCTTGAGTTAAGGACAGGGAGAAATAACTCACTGATCACTGGGAAAACAGACTCGAATGGGGGAGTTTAGCTGAAGTTATTGCCAAAAATATCAGAGGATACTGAGAAGTAAAAACAAGACTCACAAGCACCTTGCCCACATCCTTCCTCCTTCCTGAGCTCTCCCTCCTCCCCATACAATGATCATTCTCTCCAAGGACACAAAAATGAAACACAAAATAGTTTTAATAAAATCAAAGAAATGCTGAAATTCCAGCAGAAAATACAGCACAAGAAGCAAAACCTGGATTTAAAAAACACAAAAGCACCTGAAATAACAAGAGGCCCTGCCCCATTTCCTTCCCCTCCCCACAACTCAATGCTGTGGGAGCTGACAGGAGCTCAGGACACCGCACAGAGCTGCGTGTCGCAGAGCACACACCCAGCAACACCTTCCCAAGTGCTGCAGATCTCACTGCACAACCAAAGCCCCGAGACCTCACCAGCACCTGAGTCACCCCAAACCTCACCTGAAACACTCCAATGGGACCTGCAGACATGGGGACTCTCGAAAATGCTGGATCATACATCTGGGATGGCCAGAACAGCCCAGGCTAAACCAGACACCTGCAAGTAGCACAAAACATTCCAGATTTAGGGCCACGCTGACCACAGGTGCCACTTCCCTCCTGCACACTCCCACCTGAAGCTGCACCAGCCCAGCTGCACACACAGAACCTGCACAGCTCTGACAGCACACAGGGGCTCAGGGACACACCGAGACAACATTCCCACATTAACCAGGACACAAACTCCCAAACCATGGAATTCGGGACATGTGAGAGCCCCACATGGGCACAAAACCAACGGCTCAGCCCAGAACTGCACCTGCCCCACCTGGCAATGCAGCACATCCCAACCAGGACCCCTCTCCTCAGCCTGGCTCCAACTCTGGCATGAGGACTCCATCCCACAAGTGCCAAAAGCTCCACTGCCACAGGGATTGGGGGCTTGCCAGGCCTCAGAGTAATTCTAGAGCTAAAGCGGTGAGAGACATCAGCTCCGCTCAGATAATACATGCCAGCGCTCATCCCGGGCCCGACAAACGCCTCCTCCTTTCACTCCCATCCCCCGCTGTTCCCGTCTGTCAGAGACCGAATCATTTCGATCAAAGGCTTAAAGTTTGTTACAAAGGATGTTTTGCCCATTATGACTAAACTGTAGCGAGGCTCCAGACACATAAGCCCACCCCTCACTGAGGATGCCTCCTGAGGAAAAATTCAGACTGTGACTTAAGCCACCTAAGATAGATAAAACTGACACTGTGTTTAATTATCTCCGGTCTAGAGACAAGTAAATAAGGATGAGGGAGAAAAAAGTATCCCCCAGAAAGCCAAACCCACCAACCGTCCTGAACATCAGCTCTGGGTGGATTTGGAGTGCAGGAGGCCATGGCCCACAGACCCAATGCCCTGAGGTTTGCACACACTCCCCCAGCCAAAGGATGCAGGACAGGTCTTCGGTGTGTGGCAAAACTTCTGGTCAGAGGCACTGAACACCCATTCTCCCTTACACAAAACAGCTCAGTTTTAAAACCCCCACTCAGTAAGGCCCCATACAAGGACATTCACTGGCAGCTGAGGAGGGGCAGGAAACCATCAAAGACCCTAAAAGTTCCTCAGACTCATTTTCAATTACTGAGGCCTTTACCACAACACTGCACGTGAAGCAATGTGATGGAAAAGATCCTGAGTCTGCTCCCAGAAACTGGGTCAAACTTGCTGCCCTCCTCACCTCCCTCCCTGGAGAGGTTCCTGGGAATTCCCACCTGGCTCTCCTGAATCATAATCCATTGGAGCACAACTCCAACAAAACCTTCCCAGGGGCTGCAGATCTCATAGCACAACCAAAGCATCAAGAGACCTGGGAACTCAGCAACACTAGAGTCACCCTAAACATCACCTGACACACAATACTGGGATTTGCAGCCATGGGGACACTCAAAAATGCTGGATCATACATCTGGGATGGCCAGAACGTCCCAGGCTCAAACGGACACCTGCAAGAAGCACAAAACATTCCAGGTTTAGGGCCACGCTGACCACAGGCGCCACTTCCCTCCTGCACACTCCCACCTGCAGCTGCACCAGCCCAGCTGCACACACAGAACTTGCACAGCTCTGACAGCCCACAGGGGCTCAGGACACACCAACACAACATTCCCACATGCACCTGGACACAAACTGCCAAACCACGGAATTTGGGACATGTGAGAGCCACACATGGGCACAAAATGCACGCCTCAAGCCCAGAACGACACCTGCACCACCTAGCAATGGGGTAGATCCCAAACAGGATACCTTCTCCACAACCTGGCTCCATGTCTGGCAGGAAGACTCCATCCCACAAGTACCAAAAGCTCCACTGCCACAGGAATCAGGGGCTTGCCGGGCCTCAGAGTAATTCTAGAGCTAAAGCGGTGAGAGACATCAGCTCCGCTCAGATAATACATGCCAGCGCTCATCCCGGG